CTGAAATGGTCTGAAACTGTCTGAAACTGAGTAAAACTGCCTGAAACTGACTGAAACCGACTGAAATGGTCTGAAACTATCTGAAACTGAGTAAAACTGCCTGAAACTGTCTGAAACTGAGTAAAACTGACTGAGAAACGGTCTGAAACTGTCTGAAACTGACTGAAACGGTCTGAAATGTTCTAAAACTGCCTGAAATGGTCTGAAAATGACTGAAACTGTCTGAAAATGTCTGAAACTGACAGAAACTGTCTGAAACTGNCTGAGACTGACTGAAACTGACTGAAACGGTCTGAAACTGACTGAAACGGTCTGAAACTATCTGAAACGGTCTGAAACTATCTGAAACGGTCTGAAACTATCTGAAACGGTCTGAAATTGACTACAACTGACTAAAACTGACTGAAACAGAGTAAAACTGACTGAAACTGACTAAAACTAAGTAAAACTGAGTAAAACTGAATGAAACAGACTGAAACTGAGTAAAACTGACTGAAACTGTGTAAAACTGACTGAAACTGTGTAAAACTGACTGAAAATGACTGAAACTGAGTAAAACTGACTGAAAATGACTGAAACTGACAAACTAACTGAAACCAACTGAATCTATAGAAAGAATATCTTCAGTTTTAGTGTTTGTCAGTTCATTTTAAGACGTGGATCTTTTTTAAATTGAGTAGTTTCCCATCAGCTGTGGTCTGTAACAACTTGTTTACAGTCTGCTGCTCAGCAGCACCTGCTAAATGACAACTAAAGTTGGGAGAAAACAGTAACGTCCACTTCAGGATTTTTTTGAATATGATTGAAAAATCAAATCAAGTGTTTTGTAGTGGAAACAGGTGATAAAACAGGTGATAAAACAGGTGGAATACTTCATGTGAAAAACTGCATGAATCAAACTCACACAAGATGCTAACTGTGACTGTCTGACATGCTAGCTTCTCTCAGTAGCTCCATGAAAAACAAACAGGTAGCAGCAGGTTGGAGACAACTATTGTCATCGTCCTAAAATAATCATCAAGTTTTTAGTTGGTAAAATTATGTTACACAATTATTTTAGGAAGGTGTTGTTATAATGAACTGATTTAACTACCGTATTTATTC